GGATATTTTCCTGGTCCGCCTGGTCCTAAGCTAGAACCCACAGTCTACACCGGACATCTAGAATCTAGACCCCACACCCCCTACCCTCATGGCTGGACAAGCCTCAAGGGCTGCTTCGGCAAGGCACCTCACAGAGAGATAGAGAGAGAGAGGCATGGGGGTTGCTTCACTGGAATCCCAGTGAGTTTAGGATCTTCATGGCGCTCCTCGAAGGCTGTGAGATCTTCCTCTATTGTTACATGAAAGTCCACAAAAACGAGGTTCCCTGACATGAAAATGGGGACTTAGGGCTTGGAAATCTTCACTCGGGTTGACAAAGAAGTTCCCACCACAACCCCTTCCTTGTGATCGCCGCCTCCAAGCTGGCAAAAGATTATGGGACGTCGGGACAACATACAGAAGACAGAGCTTGCAACCTGCTGCTTTGTGGAAATTCTTTCGTGGGCATGATTAATTTGCGTACGGTGGAGGGCCGATATTATGTCTTTGGGCACAACAAGTCATACGGGCCGTATTAAATTGGGGACCGCTAGAAGGACCATAATCTTGACAACCCCTCTATGCCCAACGTCAAGACCCTGTGCCAAGCTTCTCAAGAAAACAGAATATCAGAATAAGGAATAGGGACTTCCAGCACAGGGACAGATACGTGGAGGCTAGCCGTAACTATACACCATCTCGTCCATAATCTTTCCCAGGTCCTTCCAAAACACTTTGTAACATTCCAGCCATGCCGGAACGATTTCACTTGACCAGCCATGGTGCTTACGCAAGCGCCCTTGGCTGAGCTACCTTGACAGTCACCTTTTCACAACCCCTGAAGGGGGTCCACCAATTTTCTCTCAGCAAGCTTACTCTACAATCCTTAGCAAAAAGACCTATCATCCGTTGATCCCCCGCATGCTCTCAGAGAGTCCCGAACCCGAGGCCCTACGTATACCCTAAACCCCAAATCCACAATGGTCATATGGTCAGAGAAGGAGCTGCTCCAAACTAACTCCATGGAATCCATCAGGAAACCTTGTCGCACATGTTTCCCGGTGGTGCCGAGGAGCCCACTGGCTTGAGAACCCAAGAAAGCTTCAAGACCATAACCTGCTGCCCAGGCACGTGCGGAGGAGCTCGATATCCTCAGGCGACAGCTGCGGCGCAGGGGCCTCGCTTTACTTTCTGGTGGTTTGTGGCTTGTTTGGCTTTTAGAGCCCTTTGAAAAATGCTAGTATGTAGGGTCTCTGTGAAACTAATGAGGCGAAATATTTAAATGCCCAAAAAGGCCAATCCAGGTGGAGAGTGAAGGAACAGGATTTTCGGACTATGACCAGGGCTACGGGTTACCGGGGTCTTTTCCTCCATTCCTAGTCGTCACCAGAAGGTTTCTGGGTTTGCAAGGTTTGGATCAGGGTTAGGGGGGGATTCTGGGTGGCTCTGGGGGGGTGAGATGGGCTATGTAAGCAAGGGGTGCGTTCAGGATGAGCTGAAAACTTTTACCTTGGGACCCCAGCAGACCTTCATCAACTCATGCGAGCTATAGTCTAAACTCCCAGCATCCCCCTTAATAAGCCCCAAAGTAGTCCCCTATATAATCCCCGTTTAAGGAGTTTAGACTGTAGCTCATGTGAATTGAAAAAAAAAAGCAATCGTGGACAGGCCCAGTGAAGGTATGGATATTGGAAGGGTCATGCAGTCGAGGGGTTGGGGTAGCCCAGGCACAAGGCCTCAGAAATTCTGGCAATGCCCAAAAACCAAAACCCGTAACCCTGGTAAAACGGCAGCCCCCCACCGCATTCCAAATGTTGTACCATGGTATGGCAAGGGAATATGTGTGGCTAGGCAAGGGCCGGGGGGAGGGATTCCTTAGGTTGCCAGAACTGGTAATGCTATAATTCCTGCGCGGTCGTCCTATGTTGAACCATAAACTTCCTGGAAAGCATGGGCCAGGCAGAACGCTCAATGACTTTGTGTCAACAGTAGTTACACCCAGAACTTAACCTCAACAGCCCCCAGCAGTAGTAAACCCCAAAGCCTCAAACTTAAAACAGTAATAAACCCAAGACCCCCCAACCCCCAATGCTAATGGTTACTAATGACCCTTACTTACCCGAAACAATAGTAAACCCAAGACCCCCAAACCCTCAAGACTAATTAAGGGTGACTAATGACCCTTACCTAGGTTGGCCCCTAAAACACATTGAACAATATTAGTATATATGTTCCCCTATGAAAGCCATTAGGGGAAATATCAAATCTCCCAGGGACCTACCCAGTTACGTACCCGAAAACATCGCTCCGTGGCCTTCTTTACAGGAGCTGGCGCTTTTGTCGGGGTTGTGGGCTCCGGCTTCTCGAGTGCCTAGCAGGCACCGAAACGGTCTACGTAGACCCTCCAATGTCATACCCTTTTGGTAGTCCTAGTAAGAGTCCTACCCTAAAAACCATACCAAACCCAAAAAGGGACTACATGGGAGGGTCCAGGCAGAAGCTCGAACAGCTGGCAAGACAATCCGCCAAAACCGTGCTGGAAGAGTTTAAGCTCCTACCATACTATACTCAGCGCTGGTGGTTTGCATTCAGAGGTTTGTGCAGGGTTAATTTGGCAAGTAGCTTAGGAAACGAGTCTGATAGGTTGGAATACGGATCATGTGGGGCGAAAAATTCATGCATTTTCAGACCAGGAACTCTCAGGAACCTGCTAATAAGATGAAAGATCAGTTGGAGTTTGCCCAGGTGCACCAGGACCTGGAAACTGGAAAATGACAGCGTGGCCAATTGAGGGTTTGGGTTTGATCCAGATAGCCCAAAGTTGGTATGTAATGGTTCTATTGGGCTTACATTGGGATAATGGAAAATATAATGGAAACTATTCTAATACTGGGTTATATAGGGATTATTGAGTACAGGGCGAGAACGCTGTTGAGCGTAGGGCTCGGGGGAGCTTCCTCCACTGATTCAGCATATTCGCCTCCGCATGAACCTCCCAGCACACAAGCAGAAAGACTATGGGGCATTTCGGGAATGTACCCCAAACACGGTCTTGCAGAAAAATCTACTCCAGTTTCTCCCCAACTTCCCATGTTCACAACTACACTCCCTACTTAGTTGGAAGGTCAGGGGGACCTAGTAAGTAGGTTACTAACCCCTATATAACCCATATAGTAGCCCTAATGATGCCCATTATTCACCTACTTACTAAGTCCCCATGACCCTAAACCCTAAACCCTATAGTCTTTTCCGTTATTACTAAGTCCCCCTGACCCTTCAAAGTACTGAGAGTTTGGCAACGCTGAGTTTTTGCCGCCGATCCTGGTCCAAATCCTCGTCCATCCGGTGCTGGCCATTCCTTTGCTGGCAACTTTTAGGTTTGAAGCCCTGGGCTCCTATAGTATGGGCCCTTAACCCGAAGATCTGTATATCCATAGTCTAACTCTTAGTATCCCCCTTAATATACCCTATAGTAGTCCCCTATATAATCCCTTATGTAACCCCTTTAAGGAGTTTAGACTATGGCTCATATGCACCTTTAAGGGTCCCTAGGGTCACCCTTAGGGGCCTTAGGGCCCATGTCTAAACTCCTAGTATCCCCCTTAGTAACCTTTATAGTAGTCCCCTATATAATCCCCTATACATCCCCCTTTAAGGAGTTTAGACTATAGTTCATATTAGGGGCCATACTTCTAACCTTAGGCAACTTGCCTGCCTAACTGTGAACTTATCATTCCCACAAGCGTTTATTTCAGGAGAAACCGGATGCTGAGAGACAACCTCTAAGAGGCCTGGCCATTCCTTGGGCGGTGCCTGTATTCAAGCCAAAACCTTTGAGCAACCCCGGCTGGTGTGTTCACCTGTTCAGCACATGGCTTCCGGTCCCAAGTCGGAATCCCAATGAAAGCGGCCAGGTCAGCGGTTAATGGAATCCGTGCCTCAATACTGAGGAAGAACAATTTGGATGGACCAAGGCACTAACAGAAAGCTGAGCGAAGAAGGCATGTGATTGCTTACCGTGCAGCCTTCCCTGCTGCCTTATGGTTTCTTGGCCTTGAAAAGAAGTACAAGCATGCAAGGTCAACTAAAATCTCGGGGACCCTTTTTCAAAACACTGCTCACGCCTTTCCGAGGACCCCAATGATGCATGGGGTGTACCACAGAGAATGACCATGTTGCTGCTGGTCATGCCATATTAATATTCTCCCTGCACCGGGAAGAAAATGTACAACTGCAGGGCCAGAATTTTCTCCAAAGGATGCCCATGTCATGCTGGAGGGAGACACTGATACTCTCCCTGTAATCCGCGTATATCTTTTTCGGTCCCTGAGGGCCCCCTGATTGGGGGGAAGCCCTACACTGAGCTCTGCCTCCTTTTTGGCGGTATTTCTTCCGACAAGCTTCAACTGCAGCGGCCAGTTCAAAGTCGGGTACACTGCACCCTTGCCTCACACGGGGGGTTACGAGTATTGATGCCTTCTAGCAGGTGATTCCGAAGAGGGCTTAGATGATTTAGGGTCCCGAAGCCCGAAACCCTAAACCGCGTGTGGTTGGAATTTCACTGGATTACGCATCAATGCTTATGCTTGGGCTTTTGTGTGCTTCTGTACTAGCCCCTCAGCCATTGATTCCCGGAATTCCCCTATGACCCCTTTCTGATCCCTATAAACCCCCTACATAATCCCTAGATAATCTCCTAGGTTCTGGCAGAAGCTTGCTTCCTGCCCTGAAGCTGTTTGCGAGGAGCTTCAATCATGGGGACGAAGCTTCAAAAAACAGCACCCCCGCCCGCACCCCAGCTCACCCCGAACTCCCATCAATCTAAGGTGCCGGAAGCGAACCACGTGTTTACAAACCAGGGTCCTGCTTGAATATCCGCACTGCTGCGAATCCCATCTCAACATCTGCCTACCAGTCTTAACCATGTTGCTGCCTGAGGTCCTCATGGCTTCAAAATATCAACCTCGATCAAATTCTACAAAATCTTGGGAATCCTTCAGCCCACCGCCACTCCCAATGGCCTGTCAGTTCGCCCGCTTTCTCGTAGGACGTGACGTGGCGGAATGTCACGGAGACGCGGGCTCCGGCAATTTCGGGCGTTGGCGTCTGCCTGGGTTGGTGTTGTGGGGCCTGAATGGTTAGAATAGTCTTCTTGGGTAGCATGTAGCGATTTAGGCTTTAAGGTTATACTGTACAGAAGGATATGGCTGAATATCGGGGGACAAGTAATTGTGGCCTAGTCATTTCGGCCTCCCATATCTTCATGGTGTCCTCAAGATTTCGAGCGGCACAAGGATGAATAGCGACAGCAAGTACGGCATCTGATTTGGTGAGATTTGAGAAGGCTTATTTGTTATTTGTAGGGGAGCGTGAACAGGATTCTGGAATGGCGTTGCGTTTGGACGGCAGAAAGGCGGCCCCTTCATGCAGGCATAACCAAAGGGACCATATGCTGCATTCTTGCAAGGTGAGGCATGGAGGGACTCCTCTCACCTTTGCAGGATTTTGAAGCAGGGCGTGAGATACGTACTTGGTCAAATGCAGTTGATCCTGGAGGCTAACTCCCTGTCAGGACCAGCTTGCCTCTAATGGCTTACAAACACCCATGGCAGTCCAGAGATAATGTGCTTCGAGCACGTGAGGCGATGAACCCTTTGTGCCCCCATAAAATGTCAAGCCCATCACCACCAACTGTCAGCTAACTGCCAGCCCATCTAAACAGAAGTCACCCAGGTCCAGGTGCCGAACAGCGTGGTAGAAGCTCTTGTTTGTGTCTGGACCAAGCCTTAGCATTGCTCCGAGACACCGAGACGACTTCCAGGACTCTAGAAAAATTTGGGACCTTGAAGTGTATATTGCCCAAAGCCCGAACATAGCTGCTCACTGCAAGGGAACTGCCGACAGAACCAATTTCTGGGGATACGGCTAAGTTGCTCTCTAGCCAAACAGCCTGCGGATGCCCTTGAAATCTTTTAACATCGCTTCGCTCCTCCACACCAGGAGATTCTTCTGAAGTCCTTCTTGAAGATCGCACAAAGTAGTGAGTACTTTCTCTCTCTCTCTCTCTCTCACGCGGGCTCAGCAAGGTGTCAGCCGCGAAGTAGCACGCCACTGTACTAGTTTTTACATTGTGCCATGAATAGCAAACCTGAGCGACGGCAGAACCAAAGAGGGGAAGATAGCGCTCTGGCTGCTCAAGCTCAGTGCGTCTGAGCTGCTTGAAGAGCCCACCATGGGGCAGCAACACCTCAGCACATCCCCTGGAGGAAAGCTGCTGCCACAGGCATTTTTCAGGACCCTTTATAAGGAGCCTGCATAGACATGACTGAACTGATGCGTACCTTCCGTACTCAACCCTCCAAAGGCCACTTTACGTATCCTGATGTCCAGCTGACCCAACAGCCCCCAGCCAGCAGATGGCTCCTAAACATGACCATAGGACCTGAACATTACGGTGAAGGCCTTTCAAAACACCATCAACACCATAGCGCACGCAACCTTACTTGTGGCTAGTAATTAGATAGGGAACAATTCAGGGAATATAATCCCTATATAATCCCCATATGGTATGTTCCCTTGTTCCCCAAACCCTAATAGACCCTCCCTTATTCCCTTTGAACCCCAGTAAGGTAAGCCCATTGAAAAGTTAAAAGCTCCCCACCTCGGTCTCCGTGGTCGGGTTGAAGATGTCATCCCGCAGGACCTCTTTGGCTATCAAGTCCCTCTTAAGATATAGGGGTTATAGGGGTTATTTCGGGATAATGGAAAAGAAAATGGAAACTACTATTCAGGGTTTAGGGTTTAGGGGTTTGGGCTCTATAGTCCCCCTTAAGTAGATAGAATATGGGGTATGTTGTCAGGGTTATTTCGGGATAATGGAAAAGAAAATGGAAACTACTATTGTAATAGGGTATATGTTGGGGTAATATGTCCCAATTAAGTAGATAAAATATGGAGGGATATGTTGGGTTTCTATGAGTATAGGGGAAAAGAAAATGGAAACGGGGAGATGAGTATAATGTACCCAAAGCCATATTCTATCCACTTAAGGGGGACTATAGTCCCCCGAAAGAAGATTCTCAGGGTAGAAGTATGGGCCCCTAATATGGCCCCTTAGGCCTTTTGAAGGGTATTCTAGGGACCCTGAAGATTACATATAGGGTATATAGTAGGTATATAAGGACCCCAGGGTTAAGGGCCCATACTAGCCCATGATTTTAACCTTAGAAAGATACAGGGATATGTATGGTTCAGGGCCTAGGTTTAGGGTCCCCCTTCGGTAGAAAGAATAGGAAGTATCTGAGGATCTTATTATGATATTGGGGAATAATATATTCTATTTACTTAGGGGAAATATACTCTCTGATTGCATTTCCCTGCTCCCAAACAAGCTGGTGTATGAGGCCTCCCCCAAACGAAACAACGCGCCCCCACGCAAAAAAAAACTGAATATACTAGAGCACCAGGACTCAGCTTCCTGCAGACTTCTTAGCAACCCGAAGAATTCTAGTATACTTAAACACTACAGTGCTAAACCCTAAGCCCAACATGCCCAAAGGCCAAAGCACATAAGGCCGGCCAGGACGGCCCAAGGAGATGCTAACGATGGCCGAGTTTTCGTCCAGGTCAAGCGTCTTGTCCTCTAAGCCCCCTCCCCCAGTTTAGGGTCAACTAGGGTAGGTTTGGGGAGCTCTATACACTTGGATTCCTGGGGGCTTTATGGAGATTATATATATAGGGAGCAAGAGTGAAGAACTGCAAATTTATCTTCATACCTACCCCTGTAGAGGGTTTAGAAATGTAAGTCGCTGAGAGCTTATAACAATGAAGAATGACATGTACACAGCAATGAAAGCGGAATTCCCTCCTTAATACCCCCTAGCAACAAAGACTCCCAAAACAGAATTTGTCAGAAAGAATACCATAATTCTTCTGATCCTCGCGGACGCTTGCAGACCAATCAGGTATCTCTGGGGGCCCTATAATCACACGAGCGAAAGTCTTACCTCCGAAAAGGGGGCTGAGTAAAGAATTGTATAGGCGAGTATTAAAAGGGGGATACTAGGAGTTGAGACAATAGCTCACATGGTGGGAGCTCCATGGGCTGCATGTTACCACACGGGCGAAGCACCAAAAAGTTCCTTCCCTATAGCTTGGTTATTGAGGTCCTGCCGCACAAAAAAAAAAACACCACTTTCCACCCCAATCCTTGTGATACCCGATGCACTCATTGCCATCCGCGTAATACAGAATGACTGCATGGTTGAAAGACGCATTCAGCCTCAACTGCTCAGCAAACGCACATGTTCAAAACGCACACACGAGGAAGCTGTCAGGGCATACTGGAAGTTAGCAGGGACAAACGGGAATATATTCTACAGGGAGTATACAAGGCTTATTTTCCATTATTCCATACTAAACCACCACTAAGAGAGTTTCTTGCCTGGGAATGCCAAAGGTCTCACCAAACCAAAGGCCGGCAGCTCAGGACAATACCATTGACCTACTGCTAGGCTTGAAGCCAATGTAAAGTAAAGTAACTGTATTTTGATAGGATACATGCCAAAGGCCCTTCTCCGTCTGCAAAAAGTCCGCAACTCTTCTTGGAAGCATGGTAAGAGCAGCCGACAGTTGGGTTCCAAGATGTCTGCAAAATTTCAGAATCCCAGCCCCTATTAGTTATGACATGATGCACGAGCGAATTCCCAATCTTGGGGGCCTAAACTCCCCACACGCTTTTGTCAGTGCATCCATGCTTTATCTGCTCTTACATAGGATTCTGTGAGATGTATATATTTACCTGCACGGGCCAAGCACACAGCTCAAACAAGAGCCAGGGAGCCGCTTGTTCACGCGATCGCAGAGCATACGAACTGTTGGGGACATAGGGAGGATCCCATATCGCTGCTGATCATTCACAGGGAAGCGGTACCTCGGCACTGCGGTCTAAGCATGTTGCGTGTTGACAGTTGCGACAGACAGCCGACTGTCAAAGTTAGCAAGGTTAGGTTAATCCAACGCGTAATTGTAAACCCTAAACCCTAAACCCTTAACCCTAAACCCTAAACCTCACTCACCCCTGAACTCGAGCCCACAGGTCATTGCATTTGGAATACTGGTGGTTAGTCGGCAATACTGAAATACAAGCACTACAGAATATATTCCTGCGTTCCCTGCTAACCCCCAGTAACTCACCCTGTCACTGTATTACCCCTATAAACCATGTTTTCATGTCATTGTATGTTCTTTTCCATTTGATTTTCCATTATTGGAGTAATATCCCTCAACCTTAAACCTAAACAGTAGCTTGCGTTTTCTTTTTCATGCCCCCTACATAAACCCCGGATAACCTTATATAGCCCTTCATATCCTGTTTTCATTCCATTTTCCATGTTTTTTTCCAGTTGGTTCTCCTTTATAGTAACCCCCCAGTATGCTAATTGCAACAGCAGGTACCAAGGCTTACTTGCTCGTGGTTAGTTAGTAGGGAATAACCCCTCATAATCCCGCTAGTCCTATATAATTAACTAGATTCCCTTAGTCCCCACTAACCGGCAATACAACCCTTTTATAAGCCCTACATTTCTATATGATATACCATTTGCCCTTATTCCCTACTAAGCAACAATATAATCCCCATATTCCTATAGAATATACCATATTCCCATATTCCCTACTACCCAACAATATACCAATTGCAACAGCAGATACCAAGGTAGGCCATGGTCCTCGGGGTCTGCCATCGCAACTTTGATCCGCTGCAGCCGCTTCAGGGCCTCGTAGGGCCTAGGCGTCTAGGCTGGGCTGTGTGCAGGCTGTAGATTATACCAAGGTTATCTAGGGGTTATATAAGCGATTGTCCAAACTCCTAGTATTCCCCTTAATAATTCCCATAGTACTCTCCTATATAATTCCCTATTTAACCCCGTTAAGGAGTTTCCAATAGGGATCATATAGGGGTTACATAGGGGGGATTCAGCTTGAGCATTGGCTGGACCTCCAACACGTTCTTGTTGATGCGATTGTTCTTCTGCTAAAGCTCTTCTGGCACTGATTGGGCTGAAATTTCTGGCTATTGATCTGTTGATCTCGAACCATGCGCTTTATCCAGGCAAGCCTCTAGACAACAAAACATCCCACAATCTTCTCTGCATGTGCAGAGTCGACTTGTCTGGAGATTTGACACGAAAAGTGTAACGTGCGAAAGTTGGAGCTAGCTCGATTGAAGATTCAAGCGTCCAACGCAGGGAACCTGCTAGTTGAAACTCTTTGCTCAAAATTTGTGAAAGAGCCAAACTGACCCGAGTCGATTCACAAACAACATTGCGCAACCTGGTATTCCTCTTCAACACCCAGGCTCTTTCCTACAAGAGCCCTACGTGAGACGGTTCTTGCGGCAGGGAGGCTTCTTCTTGTCTGGCATGTGGTACCACTGCTGGTATTCAATCTCGCCACCCGGGCAGAGGGCCGTGAATGCATGGTCTGCTTCCTCCTCCGTCAAGAACTTGGCCAGCCTCAGCATCACCCACTTCAAGTTGCGAGGCGAGACGGAAGAAGCAGTCCGGGAGGTTTTGGCATAAGAGAACTATGCACGGTGCGTGCTCAATCGCGTTATCTGATCACAGACTGACTGGCCATTCACTGAGACTTGCTTCCCAATGCATGAACCACAGATCTGCGCGACACATTGTCGCAAGGCTACCTTTTGGGCTTCAAGCGCAACACTGCCACAGAATCCTATCTGAAAGGATGGCGGTATGAAGCTTTCGTTCGGGCTGGCCCAAGGCTAAACGCACAATGTCTCAAGCTTACTGGGGGTTAGAAGGGAATAAGGGAATGCATTATATAGGGGATGATACAGGGGACATAATCATTCCCCCTCCCCTTCATACTAAACCCCCCCACCCCTCCTCATGTTAAGTACACCCCATATATTATAATATACCACAATGGGAAGTATTTAGTATCAGGGGGGGTGGGGAGCTTTGGGGATTTAATATTGGGGGGAGTGGAACCCTAAACCCTCAGTAAGCAAAGTGCAGGGGTCAGGGGTATGTAAGGCTTCAGACAGCTGCTGGGATGCTGCGTCAGGCTCAGGGGTTCAGGGTTTGGGGTTTAGGGTTTAGGGTTTGGGGTTTAGGGTTTGGGGGTTTCGGGTTTAGGGTTTGGGATTTGGGGTTTTGGGTTTGGGGTTTTGGGTTCAAGAATGATTTAGCTTGGCAACCAACTGATTGCTGGTAGCCCTTCTTCAAATGAGCCATAGTCTAAACTCCTAGTATCCCCCTTAATAACCCCTATATTAATCCCCTTCCTAATCCCCTATGTAACCCCCTTTGAGGAGCTTAGACTATAGCTCAGTTGAAGGTGGCGGTGTTCGAGTCCCATGGCTTCGGGGAGATCTAGCGTTTCAACCTAAGGGGCCCATGGGCTAAACTGACTGGTGGCTAGTAGGGAATAAAAGAATACAGAAAAGAATATACTGTGTAGGGATTATATGCTTCAGTAGTAACTGTAACTATGGCTTAGGGTGGACGGTTTAGGGTTTAGGGGTTTTCCGGGCCCGGTTTTCTGGCCCAGGGCACACTGAGATCTGAATTGGAAAGCCGACCCTATACCCCCTGAAAACACGATTATGCCCCTGCAACCATTCACTTCTGGATTCTAGACTCTGGACCTAAAACGCATGTAATACCTGGCACCTACAACCTAAAGCAACCACAGTGCCCAACGCTACAAACTGTACACTTCCCCACAAATTCCAGCTGAAGCGGCAGTTCCGAGTCGCCCGCGCCAAGGCCGCTGACATCCTCTTCGCCACCTCTACAAGGGGGCGTAACAATCCATGGCAACAGTAAGAAATAGAAAAAATAGAGTAATTATGGTAATAATAGTAAGAGTTGTAATTATGGTACTAATGGTACTAATAATTCAGGGTTTGGGGATTCGCGTGCGGTGTGGTAGACAAGTATCATGTCTGACAAGTGCTGTGGGGGGTGGGGCTCTGTCAGCCAAGGAATAGCCTTGCAGCAATGCAACCCAGCGATCCATGTTGATTACAGGGACTCTAATGGGAACCCCAAGCAGGGAACCCCAAGAATATAGTAGGAATTTAATAGCTATATTCTTGGGGTTCCCTGTTTGGGGTTCCCAGTACAATCCCTTTCTTGATAGGCCGAACTCTGCTAGAAAACCGGAAGTCTTTATGCAAAGCATGTCATGCGTGGCTTAGGCCCCCACCCAGCAACATTGGTATCATGGCGGACAGGGACCCCACTAATCTTATCTTGTTCCCTTGTGGTCACAACAAATGGTTGCGAGTTGTTCTATACTGTTAGCTAAATAAAGAAAATGGCTGTACCGAAGATGATGGCCATAAGATGAATACTGGCAAGGAGAACAACTAGTGTTATGAACATGGCAAAATCATCGTAACAAGAAAATTGTATTGATCAGTTTGCTTTCCTACTACAGTTATCAACCAAAAAAAGATACTGCAGCTAATCCCCTAATTAAACGCCCTGCCTGCCTGAAACTCTTAAGGTTCCTAGCTCGCGGAAATCAATGGAAGCTCACCTGAAACAGATTTCCCCCACCCCGCCCCTCTTAATAATAGTCCCCTAAACCCTACACAGTCCTTGTA